GTAACGCTTGATCGCCAAATGCTCAAACCATAGGCTCCAGCGCCAGGTGCCTTCCCGTTCACATCGCTCAGAACGCATTTCAATGTCTCTTCCCAGATGCCCAAATGTCTCGCCCGCCTCCCCGGCCATCATTTCGCAGCTCAGTCTCCGCATTCAGCAGTAGTACAAGCACCCACCAAACCAGCGCCTAGCTAACAACCCTTCTAACCCACAGTCCCTCATCCACGCCCTCCTTCCTCCTTGCCCGGCTGATACTAATTCCTACCTCTCTCTCTTGCCTCACGATATCCGCCAGATTCTCCCGATGCTCTTTCAGTCTCTCCTTCGCCTCTCGCACTGCAGCAAAACTTACCTCCAACGGACTAGCCTTCTCCACTTTCTCAAGATCTGCAATAGCTTTCTCAGCATTACGTCTGCGAAGCTTCAGATTCTGCTCCTCCGCCTCGAGCTTCTCGACATGAGACTGAGGTCCGTCGGGCATTGGCGGAGGTGGGAGAGACTTGGTACCAGAAGCTGTGCTGATTGTTGTCGGGGAGGACGAGGTGGAGAAGGGAGATGCGGTGTGGAATGTTGGGTGGAGGTCGGCGTTCTTGCCGCTGTTGACAGATAATGGGGTCGTGACGCGTGAAGTGGAAGGCAGCGGCATGCTGGATTTGCGCGGTGGTGTGTACGTCTCCTCTGGACGTGGAACAGGTCGTGGACGAGAGACGATAGATTGATACGCCGCTCCTTGTGGGGCTTGATAGGGTTGCTCTTTCTGTTTCTGCAAAGCGTGCTTCGCAGGTATAGCAGGTACAGAACTTGGAGGCTCAGCTTCAGCATTTACGCCAGCAAAAGTGAAGGACGTATTCACTGTGCTCCAGCTAAAGTGACCCTTGTCAGGCTCTCGCTCGTCGTAGCTTGGCAACTTCGGACTCTTGCTTGTGCCCATGTTTATCGAAGGCGCTGTTACTGAGCCTGCGTGAGTAGTCCAGCTGAAATGACTCTTGGGAACTCGAAGCTGCTGTGACTGCCCAAGCTCCCAGTCGTTCAGTGGGAGCTCGATCAAATCGCTCTTGCCGGAAACACTGCGCTGATCTCCTAGTGACGGTAATCGGTTCTCGTTTTGTGAGGATGATAGTATCGAGGAAGGGGTGGGCTTGCGTTTGAATTGTTTTGGAAGACTTGCATTTGGCAGGCCAGCAGTCGGTTTGAGAGGCCTCTCGTTCGCAGAAAGTGCTGTCGGAGGTCTCGAAGACAAAGGCGATACAGACGAGACAGGTGAAGCAAATGCTGGGCTGCATGTGCCCGCTTTCAGCGGAACGACAGGCTTGATCTCATCGTCGTGGAGGATTGAGACAGGTGAGAGGTCTCGCTTAGCCCGCTGCTTTTGCGACTTACTCGGTGACTTTGGCCTTCTGTCTGGTGACCGGCTTTTGCTGATGTTGAAGACGCCCTCGTATGGTTTCGTGGTGAATTTGAGAATCTGCGCCGGCCTAGCTTGCTCGATGACGGCGCCAGCATGATCGTCGTACTTTGATTGAGCGTCTGTGGTTGCGTGCGGCTTTTGTAAGATGTTGCGAACCTGCTTGAAAATGGGCAACCTTGACTGCCGAACCTGCGGGCCATGGTCGAAAATCTGCTGTTGTGGGTGCGCATGCTCTGAGGGATGGGAGGCAGGCTTGGGAGTGAGGTGCAGCGGAAGGTCTGCTTTGACTGAGGACGGTGTTCGGTGGCCGTATTCGTCCTCGCTGTACATGGAGTCGCGGCTGCCCTCCGAGGCCATCCATGGCGCATCTCGTTGGATCGTGTACGCCGGCATGGCCAATCCAGTTCGCAGAGCTTGGGAGCTGTTCTTGGTCTTGATGAAGACTTGTCGCGCAGGCAAGAGAGTCGTCGAGCTCTCTTCCGTCAAAAAGGTCATTTTGCTGCTGCTCATGCGGCTTCTGTTGCTCTGTGGGGTCGCCGCGCTTCAGCTCGCAGCGGTTAGCTACAGCAGCACTGCAGAGCTGCAGTCGTGAAACTTCAAACAGCTCGGATGCGAAAGCAACTGGATCTCCCCACCCTGCAGTCATTCAGGAGGCACGGGCTCAACAACGATACTGCAGACTCATAGGCCGTTGGCGCTCATGCTTCGTTTCGCAATCTCAGCCAAGGATAGGCTGAACAGCTCACCCTGAGATTTTAGGGTTTTGTGCCAGCTGAAACAAATCAGGCGCGTTGAGAGACGGGTAGATACAGAGGGGCACGACGGGACGGAGGAGAAGTCTTCCTCCTCGCAATCCTCGACCCTGCCCGATCGCTCCCCTGGTATGAGAGTGATAAGGCGATAGCACAGTGATGAACACGAGCATAAATGCGTCCCTAACCCTCTTGGTCGTAGTTGCCCTGTGGGATCCCCAGAATGTCACTACCTGATCCGCTCTAGGATTGTCTCATTTCTTTTCTAGCACGACCGGCGATACTATGGATGTGGCGCTGGCGAATGATGTTTTTCGGTCGATGTACAGTATGCATATCAAGGACCAATCCGTGCGATCAACAGCATGATGGACTCCGTATGACTTAGCCTCGAGCGTGGCTGACAAAGGCGCGCCACGTTTCATCCAGGGCGTCAAACTGACTCAGGCAGCACCTAACCCGCTGTCACCGGCGAGCCGATCGATGCACGTGCTTTAGATGGGCTCGGACCGTCTGACAGCCTGAGGCCTCAGCTCAGCTTAGTTGTCAGCTGCTCTAAAGATCATCGACGCTCACAATCTGGCAAGATGGATTCTGCACACCACGTCGGAGCCTCTCAGGCCGATCAAGGCGAGTGTTCAAGCCGTCGCCCGATGGTGTGATCACGAGTTGACCGACAGACAGCGACCATGAACAGCTCAGAAGTCCCACCCGCTGCTGGCGTGTATGTGCTTACTCACCATCTATCTTGGGGCAGCACTAATCGATGCAACAGTGCCACCATAGCAACGCCCATCAACCTCATCCTCTTCTCCCTCTTCCTGATCATCGTGTACATGCGCCTGCGACCCACCAAAAACATCGCCGCCTCGCTCCCACAGCCTCCGCCGCCCACAGTCTTCAAGGTCTTCACACCGCCCCAGCTACTCCCATACAATGGCCAGAACGGCATGCCGGTATATCTAGCTGTACGCGGCAACATATTTGACGTCACACCTGGCAAGAACTTCTACGGGCCAGGTGGTCCATACCAGAACTTCGCCGGCAGGGATGCGAGTCGAGGACTGGCATGTGGGAGCTTTGATGAGGATATGTTGACTGAGGACTTGCATGGACCGCTTGATAAGCTGGAGGATCTGGGCGGTGAGGAGATGGAGGCGTTGAGGGGGTGGGAGGAGCGGTTCAATGAGAAGTATTTGGTGGTTGGGAAGTTGGTACCGGTTGGGCACGCTGAGGCTGAGGAGTAGGATGATGAGGAAGCTTAGGAGAGGAATGGAATGGTGATGGCGCACTCATTGAGAATGATGAGGAGTTGCTTCGATACCGTGCTGGATGTGATGATCAAGCAAGCGCCAAAGACGGATAGGTTGCCTGTGATATGTGCTTAGGAGCTGATTAGTCAGGCGTGATCTAATTGTAGCTCGCGCCTTCCTGCAGCAGAAGACGGCACGGGCAGTGTGAAGGTGGTCTAGAAACAGCACGACGAAGCGAGTCGTATCGTTGCGGCAAGCGGGTGACGGTGAACGATACATTGCAATCTGAAGCGAAGACAACTTACTGCATCATAAATCTGATGTGCCGGCGAGGTGTAGGTGCTTAGGGGCAAGGGGTCTTCCTTCGTACGATAGGCATGCTAGCTCAGAGCTAAAGATCCTCAAGCGTTCAATAAGCAAATGACTCTTGATCTCATACAAGCAATTCCATCGACCATACGCAGCGAGAATCTCCATCGGCCGTTCAATTACCCACAGACCCGTCAGCAAGAGCTCATATCATGGTCAGCGCTGTCCTCTCCCACCTCTGCCACGTCAGAAGGCGCATATTGGCTGTTGCCATCGCCATCTGCTTCAGCCATCTCGGCGTCTACGTCCACATTGTCGCCACGCGCCTCGTCCTCCTTCTCTCTGTTCTGCGCAGCGGTGTATGCCGCTGTTGCGTCTGGGTAGAAGTCGGCGGGACGGTTGATTGCGTCCTCCGGGCTATGGCACACCTGCCGAGCCAACGGCGAAAGAAAGATGAAATCGTCTGGCTGGTGCGGCTCCCAAAGCATACCGCCATACTGCTGAAGCACAGCACGACCGAATGGCGCTTCACCTTCGCCGCGAGCCTGGCCTTCACCTAGTGTATTGATGTGGTCCACTTGCATCGCGGCACCAGCATTACCGATACCGAATCCCACAACGTCTCGCACATCGGTGCGTGCGCCCAATGACCAGGAGTGAATTGGTCGGGATCTGGTATTGCGTGCAGTGTTCTGGTTGTTCAGTCGTAGGGGCGTGAATGCGTGAAGGCGTAGGAAGGCGCGAAGGTGCTTGCTACGCCTTCGTGCCATATGATCGTGATTGTCGGAAGTGCCGGATGCTCACGACCGCGGTGTTGGTGGTATCCTTTGACGCCGATTCACATGTCCGTTGTCTTGCTCTTGAAGTGAAGGTGTTGCCTCGCTGGCGGTCGTGGCTCAGACAGCTCGAACTCGCCATTTGCGCGTGTGTGCTGAAAGCGCTGACCGTGGATCATGGTGGTAAGTGAGTCCTTTGTCCTGTTGATGAGCGAACCTAGTCTACTGTAACAACAAGAAGACTGGCAAAGGTGGAAGAAGTTCTAAGAACCTCGGAGTCAGTGACAACGCGGAAGAATGTAGTTCCAGTCCAACATGACTCAAAAGGTGTGGCGTCGAGAGCGGCGTAAATCGTAACAACCCAAATGTCGTCCCACGGTCCCAGGCTCCAGGGATAGTAACAGCAGCCTTACACTACAAAAGATAACCTTGGAAGCGTCGAACGTGGCAAAAAGACAACGCGTGACATGGACAGATGTTAGCCAAAAGGCAACGCATGACATGGACGGGTGGATGATCGAAATCCAGGCCTAATCTGGTCAGACCACGGCTAATAATGGCACGAAACGTTATCTACCGTAACTCACCTCTCGCACACTGACTAATGCAAAGCGAGCGCTCTACCACTGAGCTACACGCCCTGAGAGCGAAGCGTTCTTGACAATCAATGATTGGTTGTGACATTGACCGCTCTACAAATAATATATCCTACTAAATAAAGTCTGGTCTTCAGTGCGGCAGACGGTCGTGAACCGCAGATGGTGAAACTTGTGTGGCAGGCACGCTGGTGCTGCGTATCAAAACTGATTGTTCGACCGGATAATCACTGCTCCTGGATCTCGAAACCAAGTGCGTACGAACCTGCTTCACAGGTAGTAACATTCGAGAAGCTGTAGCAGTTCTTCCATAAAGAAGACCCTCCCCCATACGCAGCGCTTCCATCCCACCGATTCACGCTCCGAAAACGCCAACGCAACCCTCTGGAAAAAAATCAATACTGCAACCTCTTGACTGGACTCCCCCTCCCCTCAATCGACCCATAACCCGCCATAGCAGGCAACGGCTCGTACCCTCCCTCCCTGCCAAACCAAGGCGTCCCCTCATACGGGCCGCCACTGAACCCTCGATTCGGTGTCGGCGGCACGGGAGGAGGCTGCTGATAAAACGCCTGCGGCGGAATTTGCTCCGTGCGTCTAAACAGCGTGAAAGAGAAATTCGCGGCGAAAAACGCCCCAGCAACGAGGATAAACGTGAACACCATCGCTTTGATCGAAATGCCCTCGACGAACGCGGTATAAATCTCCGCCCACACCATCCCCGACACCTTCGCGCGCCCGATCTTGTTCGGGTCGCGGTTCATGCATTTACTCCAGTTGTCACAAACGGTCGCCATGGCCGGGACTCGCGTATCGGGCTCGCAGCGGTTGTCGGTGTACTGTTTCGCGCACGCGGCCATTTCGACCATGATGTCGGCCATGGCTTCGTGCGCCTTCTTGTCGATGTCGCCTTGGATGGCGGCGTAGAAACAGTAGATGACGTAGGCGATGGCGAAGAGGATGAAGACGTTGAAGGCGAGTTGGGCGTACCAGCTCAGGATGTGCGGGACAGTAGGGTGTTTGCCGATAAAGGTGAACAGGCTGGAGATCCAGTGTTCTTTTTTGGTCTCGCTGTCTATCATTGCTTCGTCGTGCCCGTGTTGACCGCTTCGCTTGCGTGGGGAGCTGAGGGCCGCGAGCTCGCTGTCTTCTCGCTCCGAGTCGGACACGCTATGTCTCCTCTTCCGACTGACTTGTCTGTCGATCTCGCGTTTGCGCCGCTTCTGTATCCGTCTCTCCATGTTTTCTGTCCTATCTGATCGCGGTATCTCCCCTCGTCCGGGACTGTGGAATTTCGCCTTCACTCGATCCATCCAACTGTCTCTCTCAGGGACACTCGGTCGCTCCTGCTTCTCTTTCGTTGGGCTGGAGCGCTCTGCTCCGGGCAGGGTAGGCGCGGAAGCCGCATCAATCCTGCTCAATGTGCTTCGCAGGTTCGTAGTATCGGGCGTCGCGTCGGAGTCGTCTTGCCGCTCTGGGCTCTTTGGTGTCTCGCCTGCAGACGAATCGTCGTAGTCGTTGTTGTTCGTCTTGCGCGGGGTGTTGTATAGCGAATTGAACGCTGCAGGATGAGGAGGGTGTGGTTTGAGTGGTGATGACTGATGGCTCGCGTATGGTTTGGAGGGCGAGTCGAATGCGCTGTGTGTTCCTTGAGGTGGCGATCTCAGTACAGATGCTCCCGTTTGGTGACCGCCATCCAACTCACTCTTCTTAGATGAGGCCGGGAAGCGCTGCGCGTTCTGGCTGAGCAGCGCAAATGGCGAGCGGCTGTCCATGGGTCCTGTCCCATTCTGGAACTCAAAGTCCATCGGCGTCTCGTGATTGCGCCGCGCCATGTCGTTGTTCGTGGTGTTTTGTGTATGTAATCGTAAGGCTGGAGCGCGGGACGATCAAGATCAGGGATTCTGATGATCAGAAACAGAGCTCGGGTGTTGGCGTGGAAACCAAAGTAAACTTAGCTGGATCTCTGCTCCTACAGCAGTATCGCAAACTAGAAAACTCATGGAAAGATTGAGATGGGACATGATGCTTTATATGTGTCTCACGGGTACAACATATTTATGCGCTTCACGTGGTGTCTCACACAAGTGTGTGAGACATAGCATTCACTCGCCCGGTGTCAGCGAGACTGCAGGAAAGTGCAAACAATCACTTTGTCATTCCCTTTCACCCTTTACACCCGCACTGACACACAGCAACTTCTACCCATCTCAATACTAACAATGATCCCTCTAGACATCTGGTGTCACGACTACGCCGCCTGTACCGGCCTCCTGCCTTTCCCCCTTGCATTGTCGTCGTTCGAACAGTTTCAAGCTTAGTAGCAGCCGCAGTGATGACCGATGATTTCTCTAAGGTCCCTCGGTCTTAATGAGAGTTCCAAGGTGTCTGGAGCAGGTCGCTCATTTGCTTGCGAATAGATGAGGCGGTAGCTGTCCCTCAGGTATGCTCAAGTCTCGACCTGCCACTCCATTCGTTGCACCACTCAACATATGATCACTCTCTGTACATACCAAGCTGCTCTACGTCGATTGTGGTCATTGAAGCTTTAGGCACTGGCGTCGCGCGAAAAAGGTGTGCATTTGCCCTGCGCATGATCGCGTTGATGATTAGATGGTCAGCGAGCTGTCCATACACAGAGTTGCGGTCCATGGCTGGGGGGTTGCACACACGTGAGGTGCTGGTTCTGAGATTATGTCTAGGAACGAGCATCACAGCCGAGGTAGGATCCAGCAACACCCACTCTAGATTACGGCACAGCATATTTCCTCAGTAGGATGACTGAGTAGGTATAGTCACAACCCTAAACAATCCAATCATGTTGCTGACAATCAATGAAAATGTGGTTTGACCCATGGCTGATTGAAATTGTCCATCAATCAACACAAGTCAGCCGGCTCAACCTCCAAGACTGATGAAACCTCTGACAGTCAAAAACCAAGCGCTCTTCGCCACTTCTCTCCAAGGGACAGCCAAGGCAACACCGAATGACGGATGACCGCTAGAGTCTATTCTGCGTGACGGTCGCAAGGGGAGACCAGGTTGACTGATGTTGCCAGGTTGATCTTCGCTGACCGAGATGCCTGCTGCGCTTTCAGCCGATGCCAGAAGTGATGGCTGAGATTGCTGTCACGTGCCATAAGCACTGTGATGGTCAACAAGCTCAGCATAGCAGGTAACGTTGACCATGAGATGCCAACATGTTCAAGAGAATCTGCATCGTCTCGCTTCCCGTTGTACCTCTCGCAGTGGTTCTGCATTGGTACTCAGGTGGATGGCTTCAGGAACTGGTCACGACTTCTGCCTCAGCGCTCGCGCCATCGGGGTTTACAAAATGCCATCGCGGGGCAGATACAGTATCAAAACCGACCCCCATCGTTCTCGCCTCTTCCTACCTTAACATTCCTTTACAACCCATTGAAGTCTGCCAGATTACACAGACAGACAAAATGGTAAGTTGAGATTGTCACTACCGGTGTCGGTTCAGCTCCCTAGCAGCCTTGTCGCTGCAATGGATCCAGAACGAGATATACCGACGTTGTTGGCATACTCCGCTAGAGGACTGAAGGCCACACTCAAGTACAGGACTGTCTGAGGTGTAACGGGCACTTTGCTGACATGGTCATCGCAGGTTCAATCATCAGTTCTCGGCTTCCCTCGTATGGGTAGGCTGCGTGACCTGAAGAAGGCCACCGAAGCATACTGGTGAGTTTGTCATGGCATTGAGTGCATCCGCACAGGAGCACTCCCTCGAATACATCTGCTGATACGAACATGTAGGGGCGGCAAGCTGTCCGCAGACGAGCTTCTCGCAGAGGGCAAGAGACTCCGTCTGGAGCACTGGAAGATTCAGAAAAATGCCGGCGTTGACCTCATCCCCTCCAACGACTTTGCATACTACGACCAGGTCCTTGACCACATCCAGCTCTTTGGTGCCGTACCTGAGCGATACAGCAAGCACAAGCTCTCGCAGCTCGACGAGTATTTCGCCATGGGACGAGGACACCAAAAGGACGGCATTGACGTCCCATCATTGGAGATGGTGAAGTGGTTTGACTCGAACTACCATTACGTCAAGCCTACTCTGCAAAACAACCAGACTTTCAAGCTCAACGATGACCCAAAGCCGGTGAGACACTTCCTTGAGGCCAAGGAAGCTGGCATCGTCACCCGCCCTGTCATCTTGGGCCCTGTGTCTTTCCTCCACCTTGGCAAGGCAGACCGTGGCCAGAACGTTGACCCGATCACTCTCCTCGACAACATCCTCCCTGTGTACGAGCAGCTACTTAAGGAGCTTAAGAAGGCTGGTGCCGAAACTGTCCAGATCGACGAGCCGGTCCTCGTCTTCGACCTTCCCAGCAAGATTAAGAACGCCTTCAAGCCGGCGTATGAGAAGCTCTCCGCCCTGCAGGGCTCTAGCGGTACGTCGAGACTCTAATCACTGTAGTGTATAATTATGCCACCTGTCGCATATATGAATGACGTTCTGCTGCGTATGAGAGGTATCATTCTAACGCTCACTTTCAGGCCCTCAAATCGTTCTGGCAACTTACTTCGGCGACATCGTCCACAACTTCGACGTCGTCGACGCCGCCCTCCAGAACACCTACGCCCTCCACGTCGACCTCGTCCGCCATCCCGAACAGCTTGAGAAGGTGATTCAGCACCTTGGCCCGAAGCAGATCCTCTCCGCTGGCGTCGTCGACGGCCGCAACATTTGGAAGAACAATCACCAAAAGAGCATTGAGATCCTCGAGACTGCAATTCAGCAGCTTGGCAAGGAGCGCGTGATTGTCGCAACTTCGTCCTCGCTGCTGCACACACCACACACACTCGAGAGCGAGAAGAATCTGGACCCTGAGATCAGGAACTGGTTCGCTTTCGCCACTGAGAAGGCTGCCGAGGTCGCTGTCCTCGCGAAGGCCATCAACGAGGGTCCTGCAGCTGTCAAGGCACAGCTCGAGGCCAATGCAGCTGCTATCAAGAGCCGCGCTACCTCGAAGCGGACCAACAACCCTGACGTCAAGAAGAGGCAAGAGGCAGTC